AGAGAGAGAGAGAGAGAGAGAGAGAGAGAGAGAGAGAGAGAGAGAGAGAGAGATTGTGACGCATGTTCAGACTGGCGTAGCCGGTGATTCCGCGTGGTGCCGTGAAAAAAAAAGTCAAAGGAAAGGAAGCAGATTGTTCCTTTTCAAAACCTCCATCCGTGGCTTACAATGTTTCTCCAATCTCTTTGAAAAGCAACCCAGGAACTTCTTTGTCATGCAGTGCATCTCTACAAATTATCTTTGTCTTGTTATGTGCATCATCGCTGGTTTGTCATTTCTCCGTTCCTCAGAGTGGCTATCTGGATTTGATCTTTTTTAAAATCCAGAACTTTTCGGACCTTCTGGAAACGGGGTACTCAGAATTGATGGATCCTTTGGTCTATTACCAGGTGGAGGGCTCTTCTCGGCAACCTATATCAATTCAATACCTGGGCAAAATCAGGGAGGCTCTAGTGGTCTAGAGGTACGGTGTTCGTTTCTCATTCAAGAGGTCCTGGTTTGGCATGCTGACAGAGACGGAAAATAATTATTTTCTTTAAAGAAAAACAAATTCTCCTTTCACCTTCTTTCCTGCTCTTTAATCATGTTCTTTCGCCAGCTTTCGTCTCAACTTTTTGTCCCTCCCCACCCCTCCCCTTAGCCCCCTTTTCTGGGCTACTGAATCTTTCTGCTGCCTTTCTACTGCTACTCCGTGGCCCTTTCTACTGCTGTCTTTCAGTTTCAGCCATACCCCTGATCGAAGGGTAGGTAAGATCGAACACCTATCCTTCTCGGATAAAGGCGAAAACATCTTGGAGGTCCCATGTGCAAGTTGCGCACGTCAAAGATCCCTTGGTGGTCCTAAAAGCGATAACAGTAGACTTCGGCCGCCACCCGGGCAAAATTCAAAATTTTGCGAGCCCCGTTAAACACCTCCACACAAAAAAAGGCAAAATCAGGACAATTTCCAAACTCAGGAAAATGGGCACTTCTGGTATGTACAGTGCAAAGCAATTAATTAACCAGCGGTTCTGTGGCAGATAGCAGTAGAATAATAGAGTTCCAAACCAAATATCCTTTGGTCAGAGTTTACTCCAGTGCCACACCGTCATACTGGCCTAGTTGCTGCAGCGTGGGGCAACCACCGAGTTTGGTGTTCTTGTTTTAGTTTTAGTAAGACTTTAAGTGCACTTGCAACTCAATAAGGTCATATTAAGTGCAGAAGATTAGAGGTGTTACAAGAGAGTAACTAGCGCGCAAAAAGAAGGACGGGAGATAATGACGATAGATGTTTGAAAGGAAATAAGAAGCAAACCACACAAGAGCATCCGCCAACCACCCACATGGTGTTCTTGGCCCTGGCTCTCAAATCCCAGTAAGCTGAGACCGCAAGGCTCTTGTGGTACCTCTCAGCAGTCTGCCCTTCAACATGGATGGCATTTTGATAACCTCCTCCTGCACCTAGTCCCAGATACTAATCTGATCGTCTTGTCTTTATCGTGCCATCAGATACATTGTACTTAGGAGAGAGAGAGAGAGAGAGAGAGAGAGAGAGAGAGAGAGAGAGAGAGAGAGAGAGAGAGAGAGAGAGAGAGAATCTGATGTTTACGCTGCTCTTTCTCACTTCAACAAACCTTGCCCAAGTCAAACATCTGTTTTATGGTCATCGTCAGACATTGCAGGACGAGCTATTTTTATGACAATGACAATCTTTATTCATCCCACGGGGAGAAGTTTGTCCTGGTCGTTTAAATTTAGTAAGAGTATTACGGCACTTGCAACACAATAAGTTCATATAAGTGCCGAAGATTAGAGGTGGGTTTTTTTAGTAGAGGTTTTACGGCACTCGCAACTGCATAAGGTCATATGAGCGCCAGAAGATTAGAGGCGTTACAAGACAGTAACAAACATAAAAAAGAAGAAGGGGAGATAAGGAGAATAGATGTTTGGTAGGAAAGAAGCAAACCACACCAGAGCACCCGCCAACGACCCACGAAGATTAGAGGAGTTACAAGGGAGTAATAAACACAAAAAAAGAAGAATGGGAGATAAAGACGATAGATGTTTGGTAAGAAAGAAGGAGCAAACCATACCAGTGCACCCGCCAACCACCCACTCTTGGTCGTTTATAATAGCAGTGAATGTTACAAAGGTTAGATGCACTCATGCAAACACACAGGACAGGACATTAGTAGTTTATACATATTTTTACGCGCAGAGACAACTCGCTCCGCTAAACATTCTCTCTCTCCTTCTCTCCGTTATATTTGTATCACTGTTCAGTAACCTCACTGCAGCTGATACGAATGAACATTTCTGTGTCTGTTCTTGGTTGTTGTTTTTTAAAAATACATTGTACATCATTTACTGTCGGTCGAAAATTGAAATTCCGATGTCAGTGGGTGGCTAAGGTCACTTAGCATTATTTCCGCTTTTTTAAAAAGAACGTTTGTCATGTGCAGATATTACTCCAGTGCCAGCTCGATGTCGCAAATCTCTACACCGTGGATCTTGCAGCTGG